TGTTTTAGGTGGTGATCCTACTGGAACTGGAAAAGGCGGTGTGTCTATCTACGGAGAATGTTTCGATGATGAAATACATGACGATTTAAAACATACCGGTACAATTAATATAAATACTTTTTGTAACAGTAATATAAGTATTACTGTTAATAATCAGTTTCCATGAAAAAAAGTTATGAATATATAATATTAAAAAAAAAAAAATTATATTGAATTTTTAGGCGCTGGAGTTGTTTCCATGGCCAATTCTGGACCGAACACTAATGGATCACAGTTTTTCATAACATTAGCACCTACACAGTGGCTTGATGGAAAACATACAATTTTTGGTAAGTTAAATTCTGTCGATCTAACATGTACAAAAATTTTTGATAATTTAACGAACTTGTATCTTTTTCTTCTTTGTCAATAGGTAGAATCCATTCTGGTATGGCAATAGTGAAAAGAATTGGATTAGTAGAAACTGATAAGAATGACAGACCCGTTGATGACATAAAAATTGTTAAAGGATCAATAAGAAACGCGTAATAAAATAAACATGTCCTCGATAATTTATATTTCTTTAGAATTTATCTGTAATATAATATTTTGTATATAATAAAATATTACTCACATTTTTGCACCAGATTCGAAGATTCATTTTCTTAATCATTACATTGCACGTACGAGTATGATACATGTAAGTTTACCATAAAAAAATATACATATATAAAGAACAAATACAACATTCAAACTTATCACGCTCGATTCTTTAACTTTCCAAACAGTGTATAAAATTCTTCGAATTTTGTACTTGAAACAATTGTTATGGACATAATGTACCAGGCGGAATATAACTGAAAAAGATAGTAGACTAATCATGATTTATGTAAATATAATGTTTGATACGTGTTTAAACTAAATATTATTTTTTATTTTATATTTCATTTTCTATATTTCTGAAAATTTTCGCAATTGAAATAATTTACCATTGTTTGAACAGAGATTAGATTATAATTTACCAGTCTGTTTAATCAGAGATTAGATTATAATTAATTTATATGAAATAAAGAACCTCATATTATACGTAGTATTATCTTCCATTGGAGTAACTGGAAATTGATAAGTAGGCTTCTCGCTCCATGGTTTTTCAACTTTATCTGCACTCTTCATGGGCTGATAACTCAACTGCATAACAGTTTCCGCTTTCATTGGAACATCTGACGGACGGTACACACGTACTGGTACATAGTTTTGAGTAGGTGTTAACGATTTAATATCATTTTCTAAGAAGGAAAGTCTGTAAGTAGTGCAACCTGCAATCAATAAATTAATGTTACAATATTACAATAATTATAATGAATGAGATTTTAAGTCATTTACATAATCAACTTCAAACGTTTATTTCATATTGCTATTGTCTATTAAAAAAAACAAACAATTTATAACTATATATATATATATATATATATATATATATA